CGCAGTGTACGCCATGGCCGTGACGGCATGAGGTGGATGGGGGGCGCGGCGCGGGGCGCGGATGAGTGCGGGATGGGGGCCGGGTGCGGCGCACCCACGCTGGAGAAGGCGAGTGGCGTGTTGGATGCGCCAGCGGCAGTCGCATGCGCGTGGCGATGGGGAAAGAAAATATCGCTGTCTTTTCGACAAACCATGAAACACTTAAGGTGGAGCGGAGCAGCCGAGCAGGCCTGTTGGGCCCGATGACTGCGTAGGCACGAGAACAGGCCATTCGGACAGATATGCCTGGACGGACGCCCTCATCAGAGAATTTCCGTTTGTAATACCTCCATCATGTTTATGCAACGTGTTGAACTCTTTTGATAACATATATATGAGCACATGGATGAAGCATGATTATACGAGTAAATTGCCATGCATTGAAGTGAAATTGAAACTCATACCATATTTTCGAAGGAGGCCGATCCATAAAATCACAAACCATTGATTACTGATTTTTCTAGCATAACCATAAATCATTAAAGAAATACTCACTCCGTCTCTGGATACTAGGCGCAACTCAAAAATTGCAAAGATCAAGGAGTACATTAATCACGGTGTCCTCCCATTCATTTTTTGAGCTTTGTCCTTTGCAAGGCAAAGAATATCCATAGATCAAACTTTGATGGTTGCACCTACAATAGAACTATATATGATCTCTAGCTCCACTCCATGGACAATGGGCACTTGTTTTCTTTTCCCCTTTTTGTTGTTAAGATGCTAATACTTGGGCCACAGGAAAGATAAAAAATACTAATGATACTTTGCAAGTGCTAATACTGAAGATATCTTACGTTCATGGACATGATTTATATTATGCTACTGAATTCCTGATAAATAATTACAAAAGGCTTTATGCTACAAGTTCTGTCGCCAGAGTTGATGTTTTTGTTGATTGGCTACTCTTAAATTTTAAAAAAAAGCAGTTGGGTCTGAATCCAAGTTCACACTAAATAGTTTTTTGAGTGGTCTAATAGAAGTGATACTAGAATTGGATTGTAATCCTTTGCCTGAAACATTTATCAATATCAAAGGCATGGATGCCTCGAGGATATTCAAATCAACTGCCAATAGAAGGTTAATTAACAGAAAAAGGGTGGTGCACTCAAGGAGGGTCATTATAAGAAAATAAGCTAAAAATATACATTACTTTGAGCATTAATATTCCTAAAGTTATTTATAATATATACAGTACGCTATCGCCTATCATAACTATAAATAGGTGCGTAGTGCATATTCATGGCTACTGATGGTATAAAATGGTAACCGTAAATGGTGCCAACAATATTGCAACACCTACAGCCTCCATCTTTCTCGTATGCCTTTTACACCTCGATCATGTTTATACAACGCGGTGAACTCTATATGAAGCATGACCATGTTTATGATTATGACCACATGCATGAAGCATGGATATACGAGTAAATTGCCATACATTGAAGTGAAATTGAAACTCATACCATATTATTTTTCTAAGATGCCGATCCATAAAATCACAAACCATTGATTACCGATTTTTCTAGCATTATCATAAGTCATCATTATGGATACAAGAATAAAGAATATGGTATCTGTTTCGCAAAAGGAAAAAAGGACGATATCTCCGTTATACTTTCCTGGTAAAAGTGGAGCTCTCTTATATAAATAGCTCGTGTCAGGATCCCGTGCTGCACCATCATCAAACGGCTCCGCTCTCGTCCAGTCGTCCCTAATCCCTATCTCGTCCAGATTCCAGTCATCCACTATGGCGACAGGGGCAGCTTCTCGCGCATTGTTGGCATTCTTGGTCGTCCTCGCCGTGTCCGCTAGCGGTAAGCAGCCAACCATGCATGTCAGCAGGACTTATAGAATCCGATTCGTCATTCGCAAAAAAAAAAACGATTATTATGTAATAATCAGTTTCTTTGTGTTGGTGCAATGGTGCTAATGCTGCTGCCTGTGCTTTGGTGTCCGGATTCAGATGATTTTGCGGCGTCGCTGGAGGAGCAACGACATGATATCTTGAACATAAAAAACAACTGCAGCTTCAGCGTGGCGCCGGTGATCGCCCCTAAACCGGGCTCGCCGCCGCTAGACTTCACCCCCTACCAGTTCATGGGGTACGAGTACCTCGAGAACATCGCGTTGCCACACAGGTGGTCCGGTCTCATCTGGGCCCGCACCGACTGCTCCACCGACGGCAGCGGCAGGTTCACGTGCGCCACGGGCGACTGCGGCTCCGGGCGACTGGGGTGCGACAGGGGCGCCAGGCCCGCGCCGGCGGCCACGGTCGCCGTGCTCGCTCTCGGCGGCAAAGGTGGCACGGACACCTACCACATCAGCGTCGCCGACGGGTACAACCTGCCCGTGCTCGTGACGCCCTACGACACGAGCCATGGCAGCCAGTGCGCTCCGACTCAGTGCGTGGTGGACCTCGACAGCGCGTGCCCGGCCGACCAGCAGGTGAAGGCGTCCGACGGCCGTGTTGTGGCGTGCAAGCCGTCGGGGAACTCCGGGCCCTCGAATATCGCGTGCACGACGGCCAACACAAACGGCCCGGCCTCCAGCAGCTCCAGCTGCGCCGTCGTCGACAACAGCTACACGGTCACCTTCTGCCCTGACAACAGCGAGTTTGACCCTAATAATCCTACTAGTACTAGTAACTAGTTGAGTTCTAGTATCTGTTAGACTGTTACCTCGGTAGTACGTATGTAGGTGCATCTCAGATCGCTGATCTTTGTGCAAAATAAAGTTAGGAAAATGGTCGTGTGCTCTAGCTTGCCATACTACCGCGTCAATGCACGTGGTGCGACAAAAAAAATTTACCACATGTGGTTTGCTTAGACCAAAAGTATTAGATACATTTTTTTCATTCGAATTATTTTTCAAAACATTAATTAAAAAATCGAAGGAAAAAAAAAGCTGTGAACATGTTCCCAAAGTTCTCTTTGCAGTAGGAACCGAGATTAGCGACCGCTGAACATAGCCTTGCAAGGAGAGGCATACGTTTTTTAGGCAATTTGGCGTCCTCTTTAAATAAAACGGATGAAATTCTTGGTCTCTCCGAACTCCAAAAGCAACTGTGCTGTATGTGTTGTCGTTGTTAATGGATCCTATTTGGGCCCCTGCCTTGCGGTCCGGTACGAACGAGAGGCTGCGCGAGGCCACGGGCTCGGCCCTATCTGAGCTTCTAGACGGACTGGCCCATCCAGTTCTTCAGTTCAACGGCCCCCCTTTCTCGACCGCTTCCCTGCCTTCCACTTCACTCGCAGGCAGTCGCATCGCGGCGAGACGATTTTGCGTCGCTCCTCTCCACCCTCCACGGTCGCAGTCCTCTCATGATCTCAGAGATCCCCGAATCGGCAACATTTCCAGTTCCAGCAATTTGGTCGTTTCCCACGCGAGCTGCGCGCAACGCAACCATCTCCACCCCGCTCCCGCCGCAGTCCCCTGCCTCCCGGGAAATCCACCTCACCCCGATCCTGCTCGTCCCCGCCACCAGCGCAGCCGCCCGCGACGGGGTCCGACGCCCGGCCGATCTCCCGCCTCCGCCAGGGCCTCGGTGAGTGACCGCCCCTCCCGATCGGGTTCCTTCGATCGGGCCGCGCTTTCCTTACCCTTCGCTCACTCTCTCCATTCCTCCGGGAATCCGTTGGTGCTGTGTTCGGGCTCTCGGTTGGTGTATTGGCGACGTGGATCGCCGCCTACGAGCTTGCGCCAGGCGGGCAGAGTTGCTGGCTCTGATCTCGGGCACGGAATGGTTTGACCGGAAATGAATGCAGCGCAATCAGTTGCTAGGCCTCGCTGGTATCTGAAGTCTGAACATGATATGGTTTTAGATGTCAGGTTTTCATATACACTTATATGAACACTTACATGACGAGTTCCATTGTAGAATTGGTGATCTAGATGAATTGTTGCCCGCAACCTTGTTGAATTTTCTAAAGCAACTACTGTGTAGTTTTCTATACAGACAACTTTAAAGTGTTGTTGATGAGACAGAATGCATATTCTAGATTCTGTGTTTTTTTTCTTTGTTTTGTGTAGTACCTTTACAGACACCTTTAAAGTGTTGTTGATGAGACAGAATGCATATTCTAGATTCGGTGTTTTTTTTTTATAGTTGGACATAGGTAATTTTTACTGTATTAACCAAGCAAGAATCAGATTAGGTTCAGGTGGGTGCATTTCCCTCTGTTCATTCCCTAAAAAGGAACGAGCGAGCTTATTCGCAATCCAGACATATCTGGATTTCAGATAAGGCAACTGATGCAACACAGCCATGCTCAACATGGTGCAGTAGTATGTTGCGCCATTTGTTGGGTTGACTGCCCCGATCTGTATAGCATCAGAATTGACGTTTTCATATGGTTTGAAGTTTATATATGAGGTGGATGATTCTTCTATTTTAAGAAGTTGTTTGCTTTATGGAGGATTGGTAATTCTATTGGTAGTATTTGAATGGCCTTTATCGAACTTATAGTCTAGTTGTGTTCTGATGATTGTATTGTGCAATTATTGGTTGCATTTGGTTCCTCATCTAAACCTCACCTAACCTTGCTGAGCAAGGATTTGATGCTTCTGCTACTGCGTTTGGATATTTGGCTAGATTTTTCTATAACTTGTGCTGGCAAGGATTGCCAGCATTTCCCCTTGCTACCCGCAGAGAGCTAAAATGGCTGTCCTGGCCAATAAGGTGAAGCAATCTTGCCTGGGAAACAAATCTTCCCTAAGCTAGGCAGCTAGCTAGCTAGCTGTATATTTATATGGAAGGGATTAAAATTATTATTGCTGCTGCACAAGGCCATGAGTGCTATAATTTTCAATGCCATACTTTATGTTAGAATTTTAGTTTTTTTGCTGCACATGTTTGCATATTTAGATGTGATGATGCCATAACTGGAAATTTACTGTATTTCAGGTTTCTACCTGGAAAGGCATGATCCTGGAGTTTCCTTGAGAAAGGGAGTAAGTGATCAAGGATGGCCTCAAGGGCTATCCTCAGGAGGAGGAAGGACATTCTACGGCACACTAATGTGCCTATTTTGTCCCCTTCATTCACTAGCACAATTGGGCAAGGACAATTTGGTTGTGAGGTTGATCATCAAAGATCTGTATGTTTCTTTTCGAAGGAAAGTTTAGCAGATTCTAATCATGCTATGGCACATTATACTTTAAATAAGCGAAAGCTTTGTCGGCTCAGTGGTGGTTTCACATGGAGTCCAACTTGTGAGGTTTCTCTTCCCACTTATGGTTCTAGAGCACAGAACTTTGTATTCCCATTGGGAGCCAGGTGTTTCCTGCAGTCGGTCCGCACCGCATCAAACACAACTGGACAGGGTCGAGTTAATATTATGGACAAGCAGAGTGAGGATGAGAAGCAGAAGCAACAAAAAAAGGAGGCATCCCCCGAAGAATGTGATCAGGCAGTGGAAGGATTAAGCACTGCAAAAGCAAAAGCAAAAGCTAAGCTGGAGGAAGTGCAAAAGGCTGACCAATCAGTGGTACAAAATTCTGGGCAAAGCTTCTGGGTATTGGCCCTGCTTTACGACTTATTGCTTCAATGAGCAGGTCTCTGTTTCCCTCTTGAAATTGAAGCACTGCTATACCATTCTTTTTTTATCGATAGTTTTTGTCTAGATATTCAGTGTTTGATATGTATTTACTTTTGTGGGTTTAAGAGCTGATTGGGCTGCAAAGCTGAAGCATTGGAAGGATGAATTTATTTCTACACTGCAGCATTATTGGTTGGGCACTAAGCTACTCTGGGCAGATGTTAGAATCTCATCAAGGCTGTTAGTGAAACTTGCTAGTGGAAAGAGCCTCACAAGACGAGAGAGGCAGCAGCTCACGCGCACAACAGCAGATCTATTCAGGCTAGTACCTTTTGCAGTTTTTATTATCGTTCCATTCATGGAACTCTTGTTGCCAGTGTTCCTCAAGTTGTTCCCAAACATGTTGCCATCCACTTTCCAGGACAAGATGAAAGAAGAGGTTTGACCTAGAACAATGAAACTGTCTTGCCAACAGAATTACTAAATGCTAACATGGCTCATACTGCATTCATTTTGCTCTACGCAGGAGGCCCTAAAAAGGAAACTGAAAGCAAGGATGGAATATGCAAAGTTTTTACAAGACACTGCTAAAGAAATGGCAAAGGAAGTTCAAACATCACGTAGTGGAGAAATGAAACAGACTGCTGAAGATCTGGATGAGTTCTTGAATAAGGTATCATCTTCTTGCATGCTTAGTATGTAGCTTCAAGTTTGGAACAAATACCACTAAACATTTTACATTTTTGCCTATTGGTGATATACTCAAATTTTCAACTAGGTTAGGAAAGGTGGACATGCCTCCAATGACGAAATATTGAGCTTTGCAAAGCTATTTAATGACGAGCTGACTTTGGATAACATGAGCAGGTTTGCGCTTCATATACTTAATCCCTTGATCATTCCACTTGCCTGACCAACCTTGTTCTGCAGACCTCGACTTGTTAATATGTGTAAATACATGGGGATCCAACCTTTTGGCACAGACCACTACTTGCGATTCATGCTTCGAAAGAAACTACAAGAGTATGTCTTCCAATTACCTCGTCATGTACATATCAGGAAGGGAAAAGATGTGATGGATGATATGAATGTGGAGGGTCAGGCTCGCCTCCATGAGGCTCCACCAGTGTCTTTAGCACTAAGCATGTTTTTTCTACTGTGGTACACCGGTACTGTACTTAGTTACTACTGAAGTGAACCTCTTGCATTATGATCAACCGGAGAATTTAGTTCTCGCACAAACCCCAAAACTCTTTCAACATCTTATTATTCAATTTAAGTATGCAAACTTATGTTTACCAGTTTATATCTATTTTCTCTTACTAGGATTAGTAGTTGCCTTCAGGAAAGGAAATATTAACTGCCTATCAAGTGTCAACCTGCTTTTCCTCTTCAATTCCTATGGCTAGCAGTAGCTACTAAAGCAGCATAGGCAGAGAGGGGGGCCCACATGTCTGTACATTTTATTATTCGATTTAAGTGTAGTGCAAACCTATGTTTACCAGTTTATATCTATCCTGCAGCATTAAGAATGATGATAAGATGATTCAAGCTGAGGGTGTGGAGTCTCTTTCTGAATATGAGCTTCGACAAGCATGTCGTGAGCGTGGGCACCTTGATTTGTTGTCAACAGAGGAGATGCGCCAACAGGTTTGTTCAGTGCTACTTCTACTTGGACATTGGACTCTTTTTTGGGTACCAAGTCGGACATTTGACACCCATGTCAGATTCTAATTGCTATTTGCCGTGCCCAAAAGTAACCTGCCAAGTTGGGCACCCTGTCCAAGTTGAATTCCAATGCCCATGCTTGCTTGTGTCCAAATAACTCTAGGTTTGCTTGTTTTGGATTTTTTTGAGACAAGGGTCTTAAATAAATAAAACATGTCTGGTGATTACTTTTGGTGGCTTGGTGGTTCAACAGATGTTCATGCATTCATACTTTAGTAGTTTATTTTGTTAATCACCTTGAATACCTGGAATTAAAGTCTCTGTGATGTTTCACATGTATTTTACATAACGGAAATGCTATACAACAACCGGGTGTTTTATCACCCGGTGGCACACGAATTTTTTTGGCCGCGGAACCGCACGTCGCTGCAGCGCCTGCGCCGCCGTGCCTGCGCCCGCCCGTCGCCGCGCCGCCGCCGCCGCCGCCCCCGGCATCTTCCTCAAGTCCGGCGAGCTTCTTCCCCAACTCCGGCGCCGCCACCAAATTTGTCTCTGTCCTTTCATAGAAAAAAATTTGTTACTTGTGATTTGTGATTTGTGATTTGTGCCAAGGAGGAAGGGAAGAGAGGAGGAAGATGAACAGTATCTATGGGGAAAAAATTCAGGTGTTACCGGGTGCTAAAACACCCAGGTGTTAGATAGACAAGCTCTTTACATAAAGTTCCTGTCCCATTCAGTGTTGATACACAAAATTGTGGCCATGTCTTGTAAGTTCTGTTTCTACAACTAACTGATACTATCATGGGAATGGTAAAAGGTATATCGTGCTCTGTAGAACTTATTTGGCAAGCTTTGTTTGCTAAAACTCTGTTATAGTGCATTGAAAACTTTAGTCTAGAAAATGACATAAATCCTTGAGATAAGGTAGAAGGTTTCTTTAGGCTATGTAAGTCTATGGGTATTACTTTGCAAGAATTGGATCTGCTTCAGTTAACTATTCTAAACACTTCATTTTATTCAGCTCAGAGACTGGCTGGATCTATCACTCAATCATTCTGTGCCATCGTCTCTTCTAATACTCTCAAGGTATTTTTGGTAATAAATGTCTGCCTGGCATATTACTTCCATTAGGATTCTCACTTGTGTTCAAAAAAATCCTCAGAGCTTTTACTGTGTCTGGTAAAATGAAACCTGAGGAGGCCGTTGTAGCAACCTTATCTTCCCTGCCAGATGAAGTTGTCGATACAGTTGGAACTGTACTGCCTTCTGAAGATTCTGTTTCAGAGAGGAAGAGAAAATTGGAATTTCTGGAGATGCAGGAAGAACTTATCAAGGTAATATAAGCATGAGTCACTCAAATCAATATTGTTTTGAGACATAATATTGATGTAGGGGAGGGTCTTAAATAAATAAAACATGTCTGGTGATTACTTTTGGTGGCTTGGTGGTTCAACAGATGTTCATGCATTCATACTTTTGTAGTAGCCCCCTGGCTCCTCTTGTCCCCCACTCCCTCTTTGTACAGTGGTGTTGTTCTTTTTATTGTTTTTTAATATAATAAAATCCTTACAGTGGGGGTCTCCCCTGCTGTATTTAAAGTTCAAAAAAAAGCATGAGTCACTCAAATCAATATTTATATGAGGAAGCTCCATGTCTCAACTCTTAAGCAGGGGCAAGTTTTGTAAAGGATAAGTCCACTTTTGGCCCTCAACTATTGTGTTGGTCTATTCTTTAGTACCCTCAGTTACAAAACCTGTTGTTGTTCTCGCTTTCTTGGCTGTCAAAACCGTTCACTTTTAGCATGAATATTGACCCTAGGCTTTGATTGTTTTTTAAGATTTTGAGCTTTTTTGACATATGCCTTGAATTGAAGTTTAGTCACCCACTCATTCCTCCTCTCCTTCCTCTGATCTCCAGAGCCGACGTACACCAGTCATGGGCCTCCACGGCCACCGTTTTTGATGGCCATGTAATTGTCGCCTCCTCAAAGACGCAGCGCTTCATGGTGTGCCACGTGTCCCCATCCCGTTGCCTTTTGTTCTTCCTCGCCTATCCCCGCGCCGCCACACCTTGACTGTGCTATCGGCGGAGCTACAACGTGTCTGAGCACGTAGCGTCCAGGGCAGCGGCGGCAGCGACGTTAACATGCAGGCTGTGTGTGGCGTAAATATCCTTGACTCGAGGCACTTGGAGTCGGACACCCGCCACACCTTGAAGGATAAATCCCAGAGGCGGAGTAGTTGAGCCCCGCCACAGCATCGAGAAAGGCGGCGACGACGGCGTCGAAGTGCGCATCGAAGAGGTGTGGCGGCGCCGAAATGCTGCAGACGTATCTGACGGCAGCGCGGAGGAGCTCCGCAAAGAACGCATGATAAGAACGCAGCGATTTGTAATATCAGTCGCGGTCTTTGCTGCACGGCGGGCCTGTGGTCTTCATTCGCTTTTGGCGCCGCCACACGCCGCACCTTCCCATCCCGGTTACCTTTGTGTAGATGCGGTTGTCGGCAGCCACCACGATGGCCTTCACCAAAGAGTTTGCCGGAAGCGGAACTCCGACAACTTCGCGGAAGTCCCGCCACAGCCATACGCGTTCGCGCGAGTCCGTGCCGTGTCTGACGGAAGTCCCCGCCGCAGCTGGGCGTAGTAGACGTGTCCGCCGTCCTCTGACAAAAGCGAGCCGAGAGCCCGTCCATTGCTTGGTTGTCGCGTCGCTGCTCGTGGGCGCCGCTGCAGAGGCAGCTGTGTAAAGCGCTGGATTCCGGAGCTGCGCCCACGGACGAGGCGCGTCTGGCGACGCCAGAAGCGTTTCGCGCTTCGTGGTCGAGTCGCCGGCGTGGTGGAACCACGACGATGTCGCCGCCGTAGTAGTCGTCGTCCCTTGCCGCAGGCTCGGGCGGCTTCTTGTAGTTGCCCATGGCGCGCACGCATTCGCTGTTTGCATTAGCTAGCTAATCGTCCGATCGAAGTGGCCGGAGTTGGACGGGAGCAGAATGACGCAACACGTCGCGTCGGAGGACATCTCGGACAAAGAAGCGGTGTGTGTCTGAGTCGTCCTCGGGCGGGAACTCCACCGAGCCACGCATACGACACGAACTGTCGGCGCTAATGAACCGCCGCCCGAGAAGCTCGCGAACGCCGGCGGGCCGTCCTTGGCGAAGTTGCCGCGCATGAGGTCGTCAGGTCGGGCGGGGTCTCGTCGTCCATGAACTTCTCGAACTGGACGATTATGCCCGCCCACCGGCACGCCGTCGCCTTGGTAAAACACTTTTCTGCATTAATACAGGTTGATAGGTGCCATTAGGAGAAGCGAGGAGAAGGTCACTAGGAGGCCCTTGGCGTGTGGCGTAGGCCGCTTCCTCTCCCATGGATCGGATTTCGAATCATCGCCACGTCTTCGTGGCCAATCCCGCCGGGAGGAGGCTTTCGCCCGGCGGCGAGGTCCGCCGAAGTGGCGCATGGCCAAATGAGCAGGAAGTGAGTACGATGCGTGGAGTGGCTGGGCCATGCGCAGCGCCGCGCTCCGTGGTGTCTGGCGTCGGTGGGCAGCGTGGTGGTTTGCTTCTCAACGGAGGAGGTGGGCGAGATGGCGCACGGGCTCGCCTCCGCGGGGAATGAACTTTCTGAAATTTGGAGGAAGGAGAGGAGGAATGCGTGGGACGCGCGCAGGCCCCACATGTCAAAACCGCTCAACGATAGGTCAAAACAGTCTTATCCCCGTCCAGGTGCTAAAAGTGAACGGTTTTGACAGTTGGGGTACCGGTATTAGACGGTTTTGTAGTTGAGGGTTAAAATTAGACCAACACAATAGTTGAGGGGTCAAAAGTGGACTTAATCCTTTTGTAAATGATGCAATTCATTATTCTTTATGGAAAATATTTTAGGGGGAACATGAAAACTATTCTTTAGTAGGCATGAGTTAAAATAGACCTGTTGTTGTTCTCGCTTTCTTGGCTGTATCACCAAACTCCCTGCTCCATGAATATTGACCCTGTTCTTTGATTGAAAGATTTTAAGATTTTAAGACCTTTTGAGTAAAACATATGCCTTGAATTGAAGTTTAGCACGGATTACTGTATCTTGCCTCCATCGCCACTGATCTAGCTGTTGCGTAAATTTCTTAGTCATATTGTTTAGTAATGATATAAGTTTTTGTTCACCATGTAATCACTTGCACAACTTGAAGTTGTATATTTCCTTTTTGTGTGTGTGTGTGCTTTATGTCCTTCAGTTGCCTAGTTTAATATGTACGTTACCTATCCTTATTTATATATTCTTTCGCTGACGAATCAGCAGAGTCATACAACTTGTCTGGGAGGTACCTCTCTCCCATTTATTCTATTCCTCTTCTTAATGAAATGACACGCAGATCTCCTGTGGTGAGAAAAAAAAAAAGAATCAGCAGTCTACAACTTTTCTGAGTCCCACTATAATTTTGTCAACGATAAATAGTTATTGATACTTTTGCACACCAAATAATAATCAGGAAGAGGAGAAAAGGCAAGAGAAAGAAGACAAGGCAAAACTGGAGGAGCCTAAGGCCACTGAAGAAGATTTGGCTTTGAAGGAAATGACTGAGCCTACTGTTAGGGACGAAGAAGAACTAAAGAAAGCGAAAACGCATGATAAGAAAGAGCAGCTTTGTAATATCAGTCAAGCATTGGCTGTGCTTGCATCTGCTTCTGTACGATCAAAGTCAATTTCTTTTGTTACCACTGTTCCAATCCTGCATTCCTAGAGAAAAAATTTACATTAACATTGAACCCTACCTTCTTCTCCTATCTTGCAGTCTGTTACCAAGGAGCGACAAGAGTTTTTAAGCCTTGTCAACAAGGAGGTAAGCTTCGAAGTTATACTGAATATGCGTGGTCTGTTTGCATAAGTTAATGTTGGATCCCCACTCATGTGGATACAGATAGAACTATATAACAATATGCTCGCAAAGGAGGGTACAGATGGTGAAGAAGAAGCCAGGAGAGCATACAAGGCTGCTAGGGAGGAATCAGACCATGCTGCAGAGGCAGCTGTGGGAGTAAAGGTCTCTTCAGCTTTGATTGATAGGGTAAGGAATTGTTTTCTTCATCTAAAGCTTTATAAATTGGCCTTAGAACTTATACTTGGAAACATTCTTTATCTTAAGAAGAAACATGTATTAATACCTGTAATAGGTGATCCATATATCAGAAAATCTTGAAAGTATAGGAACTTTTGCCTTGCAGGGAGAATTCCATTACATTGGTAGAAATTTGTCATCAGGTAGCTATGAGCTCCACTTATTAGAATTATAGAATATGAATTGTAACAAACTTTTCAGATAGGTAGAACAATGGAGGTTTGTCACCAGATACTTGTAATCAATCAGGTCCATTGTTCAGCACCTTAAGATGTATGTTTCAACTTATCAATTTAAAACATTACTGACATAATTAAAGCAAGTTAATAAACACTAATGAACATCTTTCTAGCAGCAAGTAGTTGTTAATAACTTCCTAGACAAGTAGAAAACAAGAGAATATTGTATGCTTCTATAGAAGGTATGGGCTATGTACTAGTCACTTCTGACTATTTAGTCAACTTCATTTGTTTCAAAGTATATGATGAAAATATGCACACACTGTTCTGATTATGCTTTGAGTATTTTATATTGATTACGTAGTGAGGCTATTTGTTGGTAATTTTCTTTTTCTGCATTTCAGGTTGATGCTATGCTTCAAAAGTTAGAAAAGGAGATTGATGATGTTGATGCTCAAATTGGCAATCGTTGGCAGCTGCTGGATAGGTAAGCTTTTGTGCATGCTTTTATTTCGAATCATTTAGATATGCTTTGTTGCTAGTGAAGTTTCTTGGTTATATTTCTTTAACAGTTTTCTAATAAAAAAAGATAGTTGCACCAAAAGGTGCTTAAAATTCAAATGAGAGGAAATATAAACCATATGGCAGGACTGGGGGAGATGATGAGAAACTAACATTTGGCCATGTTGATGCACGCACCTAGGTTAGAATTTGATTTAGATGGTTTGTCTTAAAAACCCATTAGAGTCAACATTGCAGTCATATATCCATGTTATAACTAGTGCAACACGCTTAAATTTCATGGTCACGCTTGTGCATTGTTCCTTTCATAATGTTTTGCCACCCTTGGCCATCAATATGTTCTTTTTTAAGGGACCGTGATGGCAAGGTGACTCCTGAAGAGGTGGCTGCAGCTGCAAATTATCTCAAAGACACCATAGGAGCAGAAGGCGTCCAGGAGCTTATCAGCAATCTTTCTAAAGACAATGGTGCTTACATTCAACATCCCTGTCTATCATATTGATGAAAAGCATAAATTGTTTATTCTATTCTGCTATATCTCTAAGCATTTTTTTATATGCCTAACAGAAGGGAATATCCTTGTGGAAGACATTGTGAAGCTGGCGTCACAAACAGAGGAAAACAATGAACTTGAAGAAACGGCACGATGATTTGGTATAGCAGCCACATTCTTGGCTCTTAAAACTCGGCGGTCCATTCTTTTTCAAGGGAACCTCACATAACAAAGCTAGTTCCTGGCAGTTTCATGCAAAAATCACTAAGCAGGATGGTCATTCTTTTTGTTCTGACTGGCGACTGCGGAGAAATCTGTATCCTGTAGCATAGCCTGCTGTTGAAAGATTATTCATTTATACAGTTAGTCCCAGTGCCACCGATCGTTAGGTTAGGAATTCTGTCTAAAATGGCAACTTAAATTTCAAACGGTTGCCATGAAAATGAGAATAAGTTAGGCGGGCTGTACAAATCTTTCATCTATAGTCTGAATAAAGTATAGGCATCAAATAAGTATCTGGATAAATTTCATGCTATTTGAATGAGTTCGATTTGTTCTCTCCAAATCTGCTTTTAGTGGTGATGGTTAAGCAGACGAATACGGTGAAGGTGATCTTGGGACGAAAGCACTGATCTGAGTAAATGTTTATCCTTGAGAAAAATATCTGTACAGTTCTGATACCTTTTACGGGCGTTATGTGCCTTCAGGCTTCAGCTTCAAACTCTAGCCCAAGGTATATCAACGAAAAACCCTAGCCGCGGAGAGCAAGTAGAAGAGGGCATTGGAACAAAGGATTTGGTCAATCTTTTTCCTCTGGAGCCTCGAGATTGGCTTTGAGCCTTTGAGGTAAGGTCAGGGTTTCCTTTATGAAAGGGAACATAGCTATAGAGATTTTATGAGAGTTTTATGGGCAATTAATAAGTTATGTGGCATAGTATTAATAAGGAGAGATATGATAAATAAACTTGTCTACACTGTTCCAACATTCAGGAGTCTTCGAAACAGTAACACAGACCCATTGAAACTGGCCTTCATGTAACTAGATGAGCCGTGTTTGACATCTACAATCATTTAGGCTAGGCTAGCTGCAACACTCCATGGTGGATGGGAGTCAAATCACCTTCTCTAGTGGTTTCGCAAAGTGTTATTGGAGCTTGCAGAGATAGTCATTGCCTCCTCTGACAAGAGCTTGAAGACGCCACTAGAACACCTATTGTGGCAAAATTTGTTTAAGTCCTCGTCAGGCGTTCTCCAGAGATGTGAGGCTAAACAAATGAAGCATCTGACAAAAGCGAAAGTTGCTTTTCTGATAGAGAGTGTAGGCCTGCTTTGTGAAATGAACGACCGGATTTTGGTTGAAGCATATGCCAATATCAGCCCGCGTTGAGCGTGCTCTAATGAATCTTGTTAAAAAGGTTATTAGGAGCAAAAATATATCTAGCTGAATTAGCCGTGAGATGAAATCTAACAAATACCTTGACACCCACCGCGTACAGAAATGCTATATAACACACATCTGTTTTAGCAAAAAAAACACATTGATTTTTTTTCCAAGAATAAGACGGCCTACATCCCCACCGTCTCAATGCGTAGTTTAGCTGACTGCCATGCTCTACACAGGCTCACAGACCGGACGGAGTCCGGTGGCGCTTGCGCGCCGCCACGGTGCAACCCGACCAGGAGAACATGCCGCTGGCCGTGGACTCGCTGCAGTTCGAGCGCACCTCCAGCACAGGCTCTGCGGCTGCCTCCGCTGGGCTCAAGGCTGGCACCACCGCCGCCGCCCTCCTCCTCGGCCTTGCGCTAAGCCTGATGATCGGCTGGTGGGATGCGTTCTTGTGAGCCGAACCAAGAGCGCTGGAGGGCGTGGTGGAACCTTGTTGATACAAGTATTTTGTAGTAGTTGTTAGCAGGGAGTCGGCGGTGGCGGATCTGTGATTTGGCTTTTCATAGGAAAAAAATTATGATCTATTATGTGGAGGCTGGAGGTAGAAGAAGGGTGGAGGTTGTTGGATCTTAATTCTATGGTGAAAAAAATTAATGTGTTGAAACTGCATAAAACACATGGTTGTGTAGTAGACAGACTCCACCACATATATGGAGATTGCATGCTAAAATTTAAAACAGGCTATGTTTTTTGACCCATAAATAAATAAAAAGAAAAACACTTCACCCAAATAACTTGGTCCTCTTTTGGTGGTACTCCAGCTTCAAAAATATTGCGGATTTCTTGGAGCTGGTCCATATATGGACATTGCATTTAGATGAATTGTTTTTGTTTTTGTTTTTGTTTTTAGTTTAAATAGACTAAAGATAAATATCTAAACTACTTTAATGTACCCACAGCTCTGATTTCATATATTTTATTTTTGCTTGAACTTTGCTAGATGGACGAATGCACCCACATCTCTGATATCATATACTCGAGCTTTGCTAGATGGAGTATTTTATTTTTGCTCGAGCTTTGCTATAGGAGTACTCTACATCGTTGATTTCTTGTGTCATGTAATTTGTAAGACAACAGCAGTACTGCAGCAGTGCAGCATCAGCGGCTGAGATTAAAATCGCCTGGCTACGATAAAGATAAAGCCCTTTTCCCCATGGCCACTGTCCCTCCTTATCAGTTGTCACCAACCACCCAATCATAATAACTCTCGGTCAGGGCAGGCAGAGAGACGCGCACCAGACCAGCAGAAACGAAACGGATCTCCGGTCCCCGGCTCCGGCTCCGGCTCCTCCCCTTCCGATTCCAATCTGGTCTCGCCGGGCCTGCCGTCGAGGGAGAGATGGGGAAGAACCAGGCGTACAAGGCGATGCAGCGGGGGAGGGTGGGGTCCTCGTCCGGCGCGCCCGGCGCCGCCGACGCCCCCGAAGACGGCATGGTCGGTCCCCTTCCTCTCCCCTAGCAGATCTCTGATTCCCATCCGCACTTCCGAGTTCCAGGCTCGCAATCCATCCTGATTTGATTATTTCCCCGCAGCCCATTAGTATGCTAATTATATATGGTAGAGTAGGATTCCAGCTGTTGAGGAATTTTGGCTATCATCCCACTTTCAGCTTGGGTGAAAAAATAAAGAAAAAGAACTTTGGCTAACGAGGGCCGTCGCAGACGGACGGTTCATTTCATTCTCCAGAGTGGCATGCGGCGCGCCTGGCCAGCCTTAACAAGACGCACACCGTCACCTGGGAGGAGTTCAAGAAGAAGCAGAAGGTACACCCGCACTTTATTTGCAGTAGTTCTAGTAATCTGTCTCTTACTCATGTTTACAGTTTGCTTGCGTTCTTGTACTCACAATATTCAGTGTATCAACATGCTCCCGTAGTACTGACTACTGAGTCACCCTTGACTTGTGTTCGTGATACTAACTTGCTCATTGAAAGCCATGACCAAATTTGCTCATGTTTATGTTGTGATAATGTTCAGTGCCTTTCTAGATCATATAGTAAGTACTTTAGATGTAAACGCAACTGGCACAATTGGATATTTTTTAGCATCCTGAAGTTTTGCCCTGGCAGTCTACTTGCCATAATCTAATATGTGATTCATATGTTGACTGTTGAGTCACTTGTAAGTAGTAAGTCTCAACCGTGGAGTCTATATAGATGAACCTTTGTAATTCCAAACATGGCCTTTTCAGCATTTTTCAGGTTCTCAGTTTTATTCGCAACCAGGTTTCCATCAGTCAATACCGCTATTTGGTTAAGCATATTGCGCACCTTTTAATGTTAGCAACATTTGTTGTTACTCCAAGATGTATTCTAATTGCCAAATGGTTTTTTGTAAGTAGTTCTGTAGTTATTGATGGTATTCTCGTTCACTGTCAGGAAGAGGAACTGAAAAGGGGTGAGCTGGAGGCTGACAAAGATAAAATGATGAGAGAGTATAGAGCTCAACTGGATGCTGAAAGAGCTCAGAAGCTAGCAAACGGAAGAAATCACTCGAGGTCAAACTCTTCCAAGAAAGGTAATGGGCTATGGTAACCTGCAAATGATAATACCTGTAATGTTAGAATCTTAGTACTTCCATCACTTGTCATTCCTCAAATAAATATATTGCATCTGTAAAATGGCTCTTCTGACAAAATAATTTTGAAAACAGAGAGGAAGGATAAGGATGCAAAGAAAAGAAGTAAAAAGAGGAGAAAGGTATACCCTAGCTTATGACCTGCTTACTTGTGGAATTGTTGCAATTTGCCTAATGGAAATATATTTAAGTATGATAATTCTGTTCTAGGTACACCAGTTTTTATTTTCAGATAGCATGAACTGAATACTTTCCTACTAGAAGAGCTTGAAGAACAAAAGATCCTACTAAAATTGGTCTCAACAGTACATTCACTTACTTTGCTTACTTTAAATTTGTTTGGTTTTCTGACATTTAAATCTTTAACAGCACAGAAGTTCATCAGAGTCAAGTTCGAGCTCATCGTCAGATTCTTCAAGCAGCGATGATGAGGATAGGGGTTCAAGGAAGTCCAGATCACGGTCGAGATCGAAGAGAACAAAGAAGGAAAAGAAGCACCGATCAAGGTCCAAGCGCAGAGACAATGCAAGTGAGGAGGAAGGTCCAGTTCGCCTCTCCAAATTCTTCGGGAAGTAAGGAGTAGATACTGTACCCAAGACGCCTTTTCAATTTCCATTTGGAACCATAGATTGGTGGGTTTGGATGTATCATTCAATACAGATTACTTCTGAAGGTTGAGCGGATCAGTTACCATGATGTTGTTCTCAATAGAGTGCTCAACAGTTAAGAGTGTCTGGTTAAGTTGTGTGGCTTCATGAAACTTTGTAAGCAACTGGTAAGTCATTGTTAAATTGTTGTACCTTGAGGATTTGATGCCAATATTTGAAATATTTGAGAAATTGAACTGCTATAGATATCTTAAGCTTTCACATGCCCAGTCAGTGGTTGCTGTGTGTTCCGGCTATGCTCTTTTGCTATGGTGCTATTTCGTTTCGAATTTGTAAACCTTCCAGCAGCTGACGTGGTGAGGAGGGTTGTGTTGGCTTTTATCAGCGAAGGGTTGCAATTTGCAAACCTCTGTGTATTTATGAGTTTCAAGGAAAGAAAAGAACGAGATCCTACTGAAAATTTATGTAAAGACAGTGGCAAACACCGAAGGCGATCCTAAGCAGCTAGCGCAAACCAAGGCTAAC